CGATGAAAGTTCCAGATTAAGACGATTACGTCATCGGAGATTTCACAACGGCTACGACTGGTGGTGCAATAATACAGTTTGTGTTAATCAAGTGATGTGTCTACAGTAATCAATGAATAATCAAAGACTGCTTTGGAATCTGCCCCGCATTGCGACTGTAGAGCTAAGAAAACAGTTAAAATTTAAAAGTGCGGTTATAAGATCTTAAAGATCTTCTTGTTTTCTAAGACTGAAACAGATAAAAGCTGCTGAAAGGATTATTTGTAAACCGTTAATCAGCCATACTACTGCTCATTAGGGAAGACAATTTTTTTCAGGTGTTTGTACTTCCAAGCAGAGTCCAGCACTCACCTCAACGTAAGGAGGATACAGTTGGATTGGTAAGCTACTCTGTGATTTATTACAAGGCTGTGGTCTAAGAGAAATTTCAAGGAGCCCAAAGGTTCCTATCTATGAAATCCTGGTTGCCCAGTACTTAAGCTCATATGTAAAAAGGAAGTTTTTGCAAAAGTTAGTAATCTGTGGCACCCGAGCGCTTCTAGAGCACAACGCTGTAAATTATAACTTGCCATCTATGTCAAGGGTAATCTTGTTGGGAAGCTAAGTTCAGTAGCACTTTCAAGAATTTTTAATAATAATTATATATCAGATCTGTTTTTTAAGAGGCGTGAACTTGGTGCATGGAAATAGATGCCTACTTCAGTGTGATCTACATGAATTCCATTGTGGTTGAAACTGGTCTTTACTCAAATGTATTCTATCATGTCAAAGATCCAATCCAAAGGGGGAATATCTTTATACCACTGGAATCAGATCAAGACCATGTTAGCCTAGTCTATCTCTTTGTCATATTATATGGTGGGTGTAGTGCTCAATTTATATCTGTTATCTGATTGGGAGAGAATGAAATGTCATTCACTTCAATCTTAATTATCATCTGATATCTATCATCAGTGATTATAGTTGCTGCCAATATCATTCTGTCATTTAATAACCTTTGAAAAGTTTAGTACATACATTTTAAATGTTCTTGGGAAATTGTTGGGAAAACAGGTTTTGTCTTGATGGACGTACTAGGTGGGAGTTATGCCCAGGCATTTATACACAGTAATTTTAAACTCTTATTTAGATTGAACCCTTAATCTTAGGTCATTGAACGTGAGAGGCTTCCAGAGGAAACTGATGGGTTGAGGTATGACAGGGCCTGAAAATACTTCCTGTTCCAAATCACTGAAGAACTAGCTACTCTCCATATCAATATAATTATCATTTTATATTAAGAAATAACCAAAAATTTGTATTACAGTTCTGTAACCATTTATAGATGCAATTTTATAAACAGTTATGATATCTCATTGTTCTGTTTTGCTAACAGGGCTGACCAAGACTTAAAAATATGTTAATAAAACATTTCACATTTTTTATACAAAAAATTATTAATTGAAATATTTTTACATTTTATATTTACTGTATATGTATATATTGATACTTCTATTATCAGAATACAAATCAAAGTACAGTAAATGAGCTTGGTACAGTAAAAAACTGCATGTAAGAACCTAGTGGCTTAAGAACCTGCTGGCAGAAATTTGCCATTTTAAAACCTAAAAATATAAGAACCTGTTTAGCCAGGCAAGATCAAGCAGGTTCTTGTATTTGGGTTACGGTTAAATTATGAACTCTTGTTATTGAGGCAACACTAGATATACACTCTTTAATCAGTTTTAGCATAATACAGTTGTGAACAAATTCTGTATATTTAACCTGCGGGGGAGGCGGGGGATACTTTGAGAAAAATTAGGTGGGGGTGTGCACCCCGCTTCCCAAAACCCTTACCCTATCTATGACCAAAATCTGTGATTTTCCCTACTCTATTTATGACCTGACCAAAAATTTGATACCTTACATGTATTTATGACCTAATCCTAAATCAGTACTTTGTTTCAGACCTGCCTTATGCTTAGTTCCTAGTTCAAACTTATGTTAAAGGCATTGTGAAGGGCTTTTGTTGATGGTCTTATCAATAATGATGAAAAAGTAGCTTCTTCTAAAAAACACACCCAATTCAACACTAGAGTGCAAAAACCACGACACCCTATTTTTGACTGAAATGGCTAAAATCAATACTAAACCTATTTATGACCAAATCGGCTTAAAAATCATATCCTTTGGGGCTTCACATACCTATATAGCCCACATAAGGAGGTACCCCCCTCACCCCCAGGATATTTAAGGACAAAACCAAAGGTTTTTTTTATTTTTCTGGCAATCAACAACTTAAACTCCTTCATAGAGATTAAGAACCTAATTGAGAACCTACTTGGCCTTAATTGCCAATAAGTACCCCAAAATACAAGAACCTATTTTGCCAGACTTAAAAAAATGCAGGTTCTTACACGCAGGTTTTACTGTACTTTGCAGCTTATTACTGTGTTAATTTTCTTAATATTTACAGGTATTTCTGTGAGGATGGTGTATCACCCCTTTGGGAAAAATGGTTCCACTGTGATGACCTTGGCACTCAGTTGGGTCCAATCATTAAGGAGTAAGTTCATATTATATTGCTTGTTTGCTGGCTGTTTGTTCTAAAATCTGCAGTGTTGATGGCGTAACTGTTCTCTTGTTTTTACTTTTTAGGTATTTTGCCTCGGAAGAATATAAAACAGGAGTCGCGACCCCTGGTTGGTTAAGGGATTATATGCTTTTTTATATTTGTATTTATTTACATTGCAGTCTGTAGCTATTGTAAGTTGTAACTCTTCTTGCTAACACTGGCCCTTGGACCCAGCCCTAATAACCCTGTTTAAGGTAATTCCATCGAAATAGAACTAACAATAGATTTTCTTTCAAACTTAACCTGTTTGCTGCTTATATCAAGAGAACTTAAAATTTGAAATAAAAAAGGGGGATCCCCATATTTGTTTCGGAGCAGGAAGACCTTCAATAAACCCCATAATTCCTGAAATTGTCTCCTTTAAGAAACGTTTATATTTGAACCATTCACCTTACGCTTTAAGAGAGCAGAAAAATAGAAAGAAAGTTAAGGGAGAAATACAACAATGGATATATTGCATAAATGTTAAGGAGCAATTTAATATACATTTCAGGATAAGGGCACTCATATTTAGTCGACAGGGATACAATATGTTCCAAGCACNAGAGCAGAAAAATAGAAAGAAAGTTAAGTGAGAAATACAACAATGGATATATTGCATAAATGTTAAGGAGCAATTTAATGTACATTTCAGGATAAGGGCACTCATATTTAGTTGACAGGGATACAATATGTTCCAAGCACACAGTGTCCTGGGGCCACATATTATCTTGTACAAGTGCTGGCTATGCTCTCATTTTCCATGATAATTTTTTTCTCTGCAATGGAAATTGGTCCATATTCCTAGTATAGAAAGATGGTGATCTCTGCATTCAAACTAAGTAAAAGAAATTGTTAGGTCCTGGTACTCGTTTCCAAGGAAAAAACAATGATTTGTCTCTTGCAGGCCAAGTTGTTTAGAAAAAGCCACCATTTTGTATATCTTGTGTATGTGCACCCGCTCGTGAGCACACGCTAATGACGCAAAAATCATGCACAGTAGGGATGCGGAATGTAATTCTCAGGAATCACCTCAAATGCCAGCAAAAACCTACTTACAATTTCCCATAAGCAACCTCCCTAACCCGTTTGGAATTTTCAAACTGGAGTTTTCCTTTGTTAGTAACAATGCTAGTTGCATGTTTTAAGTTCTTGTAAGTGATCAAGTTCTACCTTTTCAGCGGTGATGAGCATGGCTGTTTTTGACAGAGCATAGACCGTTTTGATGAGCATATACTTCTTTTTGATATATTAAAATTCAGCTCGGCAGTGAGGCTTAGAGGACACAAACAAAGGAAATTGAATGACCATGCATGTTTATTCATTTCTTTGTTTGTGTCCTCTAGGCCTCACTATCACTAAGCTAAATTTTAATACATTGAAAGTGGCCTATTGATGGACTGGCATGTTTTTCAATCCACAGAAAACGTTGCCAAAGACCCACCTGTTAAAGTTGATCTAGAAACTGAAGTCCATGAACCCTTTTCACTGAATGAGGTACACATGTTATCACATGTAATATAATTATAATTGTCAGCTTTGCTACACTGAGAAACATGCATCACTGATGTAAATTGAGGTAACAGATGACCATTGTCCAAGGTTGTGTTCATGGGAGAGACACTTTGCTCTCATATTCTCTCTCCACCAAGGGGTATAAAATAATGGACTCCACAGTATTGTTAGGGAGGCCCTACAGGTGACCTTGATTTTCTCAGTAAACAACTGTAACTCTATTTCAAAGAAAGATAACAGAAATGCACGACACTTGAGTTCTCTGAACGACTTATATATGATCTTATATCCATTTTTTGTTATTATGGTTATACTTGAACCATCCCAATAACAGTCTGTTGTAAATATATAAAGTTTTGATTATATTAGGCATGCTTTGATTGTGCGACTAGTAGGTGTTTTGTGTGAGCCTCGGTTACAGGTTGCAACATCACAATACACTTTTTACCTTTCTTTTGCAACACAAATAAAAAATAGTTAGCTTATTTTGGCATCACCATATGGAAACCATTGTATTTCAAAATGAGAACTAGAAAGTCCTCAATTAGCAGAATCCTTAATACAAAGACAATTGACTAATTAAAGTTGACCCTTGTTGCAGTCATAAATAAATATTATTATCATCCATTACCAGTGCTGTTGCGGTCATCTTCTGAAAAAAAAAAATCATAATTTGTTGTGTTTTGTGGGAGGTGCAGTGCCCTCAACCCTGGTTAGTGCACTCAACTCTGGCCCAAGCAGTCTGAGTGCAAGCCATGGCTGGGGCCATGGTGTTGTGTTCTTGGGCAAAACACATTACTCTCACATTGCCTCTCTCCATGTTGGAGTATTAGTGATAGGTACCGACAAATTCAATGCTGGGTGTTACCCTGTGATGGACTCAGCATCCCATTCAGGGGGGAGTAGAAATACCCCTAACCGCTTAATGCTACAGAAATGTACCAACCTGATGGGTTACTTGGCCTAGACTTAACCTTACCTGTGTAAACACATGCACTTAAATATTTTTATCTCAAAGAATAATAGTTATCATGCGTGTTAATCTGTTCAACTACTTTTAGTGGATTGCAGAAAACAAAAATGAAATTGAATGTGGCACAAAAGAGCTCTTTGGCAAAGGAGAATTTAAGGCAAGTGTGAGAGATATATTTTGCATCATTGTCAACATTCCTTTTTGTATTTAAAAATGCTTTGTTTCAACAGCATTTATCTTTTATACAAACAGCCAGTTCTTTTGCCATAACTCTGTAGAAACATGGTATGTTTTCTATAAATTGCACTCAAATAATCTCACATCAAAACAAGTATCAGTATTGTTTTGCAGGACAGAATGTTCTCTGGAAAACCCTTCCTTTTCCTGCATGTAAAGGGTCATCTGTGCTTTAATCTTTCACTTCAGCAAGGTTTCACAAATTAACAACAATCTTTTGTGTTTTGTAGATAAATGTTCATGGTGAAGGTGAACAGTGTGATGAATGGCAGGGAGAAACATGGCTTCTTCAAATAGTAAGTGCATTGATCTATGCCAACTCCTTGATCTGGTCTCCCAGATACAGACTGAATCTCTCAGTTTCCTGTATGGGTCACCAAATCTCCTGGACAATGCGAAGAAAAGCGCATATTCTGGACATTTCAGACATATTTTGGTTGATGTTTGACGTTTTGGGCAAAATGTTTTGGAAATTTGATGGAGTTTTGTGGTTGAATTGGTGGAGCTCAACAACTTTTGAATTTCACTTTTAGGGTCAAGAAAGTAAAATTGGGTATCTCAAGGATTTCAAGTTTTTAGGGTTGATATCTCTAACTGTAAGTGTCAACATCACAGATACATATATTCAAATGCTTTTAAGCATTTGAATATAGTATTTGGGTGTTAAAACGCCCAAATATGGTGTGTAGTTAACAGAATAATTCTTTTTTCCAGGAAGGAGATGCTAGCGTGACAGTCAACAGTGAAACAAAGACACTTTCCAAAGATGATGTCATTCTCATTCCATCAGGTTCCAAGTAGGTGACCAAAGTTGTCTTCACACCTATTCAGTCACATGATTTCTGCTGTGGTGATGCAACAATAATGTGTTCTGCTGATTTTCCCCAAAAAATTATGCTCAAAATTCCCCAGCAATCGAATAAAGCCCTTTAACTGTCAAGACAACAATACACTGTCAGTTTGACTCCCCCAAAAAATTCAAATCCACTTAATTTAGCACACACCAACAAACATATTGCAACATTAAATTTAAACTGTTGAAATTAACCAACAGCCACACACACCTAAAATTGAGAACCAATAAAAACAAAGTCTATACTTGCATGCATGCCGGGGTGTAAATGTCAAGTTCATTTTAAGTTTTTTTTTCATTTTAAGGTCTCAACAACATGCCTTAAACAATTTCTTTCTTAAATTCATGTATCACATATCCTTTAGTTGCTTTTCACACATCACATTTTGTACATAAACCCTTTGCCACCCACTCCATTAGCCTAAAAACACGGCCATACCTTTGCCTCTTGTTTCACCCTCTAAAGAAAAAGAAAAGCCAGAAAAGTTACTATACTTGCAGGCTACAGTTGTACTAGTACATAGGCTTGGACCTCATGTAACACATGCTCAAATGTAATATGTCATCTCTCTTTCCAGGTACACTGTCAAAAGGTCAAAAGATTCCATAGGTATGAGTGTTATCATGGACCCAATGGCCAACAAGTGAAGAAACCATTGCATAGATACTTTCATTGCACCCTGTCCACTGACCTCAACACTAAACCAAGAGCATGCAATCCTGCAACAACAGTTGCATTATTTATAGACAATTTTCAACTTGAAGAAAGATAAATTTCTTAAGATCATGAAAATAATGATTAAAAAAAAAACTGAAATAACTTAACTTGGGAAAAGGGATTTGTGTTGGGTTTTTGTTCAAATCTGTCAGGGATATATTTTTTTATGAAAAGTATACTACAACATTTTATTTCTCTCTTTGTAAAAGAGTATGTGATATTTTATTGCTTGCTTAGACATGGTCAGTAGAGATTAAGGTGATGAAAAAATAAAGAAAAAATATTGTTTTGTCTTATGTGATATTGCGTTAATTTAAAAAAAGACTCCATAAGACTAGATAAATGTATTGCTTGATCTGTATTGGTGATTGTGATTACGTCAACCAAATAGGTGTCTTCACTCAAATGCCACTGACAACCTGGGAGTGTACAGGCTGGTGTTTAGGACAAAAAACTATGGTAGTTGCACTTTTTCATCCAGTGCACCAATTTGGAATTTCCTTCTGCTAGTCAGTTGATATTTTTAAAAACAGACTTTTTATTGCGTTCGACGAAGTGGAACGCAAACCTAATTTTGACCTGTGGCTTTTCAGAGTTGCTCTCCCTGTGCACGGTTCTAGGCTGAAAAAACCCACATTCCTGTAAGGACACCAAAATGGCCACCCCGCCTGATTTTTGCAGGGGCATGTCACGGCCAGTAAACTGGTACCATTTAATGCTAAGACATGTGATAAGACATGTGACGAACAGGTGAGTATGTGAGCAGGCCATCTGAGCTCGTCTTTCCGATGGATCCTTTTTTGACTTCTTTCTGTTCAGTCACCGTACGCCTCGCTATTATGTGCTCTCAGCGTTAGATTTTGGCGAATTTAAACGCTTCGATGGCAGCATTTATCGCAATCTAAGGGAATTGTCCTTGTTTATTACACGACTTGGCTTTGGGATGACAACCGTGGGAACAGCTACATTTTGATTGCATTTGTTGATTAGTTCCAGTCGCGACAGATAGCTCAGTCTTTATCCGGTCGAAATTTTATTGTTT